AAAATCATATCTAAAATTATATAATAAGTATAAAAATGTATATAAATTAATAAAATAATATAATGGTAATTAATAAAATTTTTTTTAACTTAAAAATTCTAGTACTAACCTATAAGTTTCTTCAGATTTATTTGTCATAAGGGCATATACTAATGGCAAAATCCTATAATTTTCTTCTGGTCCGACTGGTGCATAGATAGTCTAAAGTTGATAAAAAATAGTTAAAACTGTTTTGAATGTACCATCCATAATCCAAAAAAGGGCTTTGGATAAATATTCAATATTTGCATTTGTGGAAAATATAAGAGTTCTGCTTTGACCAACTATGTGGTCTTTTATTAAGAAAAGATCTCCGTTCAAAGTATTATGAAGATTAACAGAATAATAAGATCTAAAATATCTTGTGATTGTGGTAATTGTTCAGTTTTCCTAGAACGAACAATTATTTCATGAAGAGCATTTTGTGATAGCATGAAAGGTTAAACATTATTAGAAATAGTGGACATATAATCTTGAATAAGTCATACAGGCTTTTCTCTACTTTCTGAGGCACGTTTTTTAATTTCAGTGACTGCTTTTACAACCTCTGAATGGCTAGCATCAGGCAAGTGATTATGTTTACCACTATCATCTTGTAGATAATGCAAGTTCTTGATTAAATATGTTGTAGGCAACCAGGACACTTTTTCAACTTTCTATATTCACAGCACCAGTAATATCTACCTCTTCTATTTTTCTCCTTAACCATTAGGTACTCTTTGATATTTAGTTTAGTTCCACCTTTTTGAGATCGTACAGTATCACAAACTTCTTCTATTTTTATATTTTTCATTTTTATATGAAATACAGTGAATATAAGAGTAATAGAATAATTAATGGGTTTAAAAGAATAGTATGAAATGAAATAAATAGCATTTATAAACAATAAAGCGAAAGTGATGTAAATACAAAATAAGCAAGTTTACATTGTCATATTTTATATAATTTTTCACAATATTAGTTATGACCTAATATGTATACTTTGACTACCTTAAATTTCATATAAGTTTATTAAATTAGTGACCCGAAAAGATAAAATTTTAATGATTAGTTACTTCGAAATTTTAGATTGATTAGTTGCCAACTTTTTACTATATCAGTATTAAATAATCTATCTGTTATTATTATCAATAATAACTTTTTGAGTTGGATAAATGATTTATTAAAACTGTCATCTTTGATTAATATCATTATATTAGTATTAAATGATTTATCCATTATTAATATCAATATAAAGTTATAATATATTTCTGATAACTGATTAATTAAAATTGAGTTTATCCTGGAAATATTACAGCTTAGCATTTTATTTATTAAATTTCATAAATTGACAAAATCAAAGAAACAATAGTATAGAAAATACAAATAGATAGAATTCATTAAATTCAGTAAATTCATTCCATATATAATTGGTCAACTTGGTCTCATTCCTTTGGTGAAATAGAATATCTTTTTCAATTAGATTTTTCATGCCTAAGTATATTATTCAATTCGTGTTAATGGGTAGCTAAATATTGACACTTAAATCAAAGAGGCGAATTTTATTTTACAAAAGGTGTAATGTAATGAGTCAAGACTAATAGGGTTTTTCTGAATATGAGATTGAAAAGATTTATTGAACAGACTAATTTTATACAAGAAATACAAGTATTGCTTTATATTTTTGTGCTTTTATCTTCGCTATTACGATTACTAATCTAAACTACAAATTACTACTTAATTACATCATAATTCATGCATCGCTATCGACCCACATTGACTATAAATTTATGATGGCATAATTAATGTGTCGGGAAATCACTTGGATCAGGTCAGACAATTTTGGATCGCAGCACATGTCACAGACTTGGATCTCGATTTTGGCTATTACAAAAGGATAATAGAATAAAGCATTTTTTGTGTTGAACTTTAATTCAATTATCCTTTATTGAAGGTAAGCTTTTGTCGCTTTTATACTTTTCACCAAATTAAGTAAGCAACGAAGGTAGAAGCTAAGATACCATGAGGAATCAAAGCAATATGGAGAATTATCTAGCAAAATAATGAGGTTATTAATTGTATTAGAGTTGTGACCCAAAACCCGAAACCTTTTCAAAACCTTCAAATTAGAATGTTTATAACTAATGTACATTTGCTATAAAGTAACCAAAACCTTTCTAAAATGCAATCTAATTAGCATGTACTTTATGTCTTAAAGTACTTAGTGTACTGAGTCAAATCAAATAAATTTTGGAAGGAAATGTACCGTAGCTGTAAACCATGAAAAGCAATATATTAATGATAAGAATGGAAAGAATCTCAAATATAATGGCCAGTATTTTTTAAGATGTTCTTGCAATATTTTGTTGCAATTATTATTACTAAATGCATATCAGACCATTTATATCGTTAAGAATATTTGTATTCTGTAACAGCAAGGCAATCTTAGACCACAAGATAACCTATTGCTTTGTGGTCACCAAATTTATCACAATTAAAACAAGGATAATCAGGTCCAGCTTGGCTTCATTAAGTATCTTTAATTTGGCCGAACTTGTAAAGCTTCTTGAGACTCTTCAGCAACAGTTACCCTCATTAATCATAACTAGGGGATTCAACCAATGTCGATAATTCACTTCCTTAGCCGGGTTTGTTGAGTCAACAATAGCTCAAAACATCGATATCCAACAGTTATTTAGACAACTTACACTTCAAAACACCTGGCTTCCAAACCAACCTTTTTTTATGCTTGTGCCCTCACATATGACATCTAACCTTGGCCCACCACCTTCACCCTACAATGCTCCAATAGTGTATTGTAATATTGTAACTTTCTAACACAACTATAAAAGCAGCGCGAAGGAAAAATGAATTATTAATTTGAGAATTAAACATTTAAATGACCATTATATTACAATAAAATGAACTTCATGCTA